ATCAGTGACAAAATATTACCAAGTGTCTACATCGTCTACATCGACCTTCGGACGGGTAAGACGATGGAAGAAAAGTACAGCCTCGACAACCAAACCCACAGCAGCAAAGTATGCAAAATAGGACAAATAAAGACACTATCCGATGCTCTACTGTCTGCACCCTTTTCGCTTTTTGGCTCTCCTTGTCGTCGCTGGTGGATAGATGGTGTCAGTGGAAATGCATTAAAGGTTAACCAAAACATTGGGAAGAGTATCTTTCGTCCTAAGATTCCAAATACACTTCTTCAGGCTGAAAAATTTGCGGAAGTAGGTGAACTCCGACGAAACTGGCTCGGGAGAATGTTCCATGTTGTTTTTATTTGGAAATGTGCTGAATATAAGCAACTTGATGATTTGCATTACTGGAAGACATAACTGAGATTACCAGGACGGCAAATCTACTTGCCTAATTGGCGATTTTTGAATATGCACAGGTTTTTTATTAAAACAAAACGATCACATCTTCTTGATGTTGGATTAGAAAGTTCTTTTGTCTATCGAAATTGAACATCAGCGAGGGCGCTGGAGCCACACCGATGAAATGCTATGACGCAGACAGGTTGGGGTCTGTGAAATTCCCCTGCGCAGAGGAGGATCAAGCAACTCCGTCGGAGCAACGTGTGGGCTGATCAATTTTGTGTAAGTCATTGAGTTTCCTTGATTATGTTCGGAAATGAATAAGCGGAAGTGTCATGAAATGAAATGGAATTAAACTTTACTACAATCAGCGTAAACACGTTAGTCTCGATCGACAATGATTGTGGAAAATGCGGAACAGAGCACAATTATCCCGACTCTCCTGACTGATAAAATCCTCCAGAAAGGTGGGCTGTTTCCTACCAAATCCATTGGGGATTGATTGATGCGGCCACTTTTGCATCGTCAATTTCCTCCGCTTACATACTGCTTCAATGGCTACCCTTAGCAGCCTCATGTAAGCTTTTTTGAACAATGTCGGGATCTTTGACAAAAGTCGCATTCACTGCATCTTCTTCTTGCATCAAATGTACTCAATCGACCCGCATTGGCGGCAATTTCTGGGCGATGAAGGTATAATACACTTGTAGAATCCCATACGTAGTCTCAAGGAATCGAACTGCTTGATCATTTATGCGCAAGGAGAAAGTATTTTTCAGTACAATTTTCAAGTATTGCAATGATATGAAAATCACATTTTCTCTCTTAGCAACACCACTTTACACTCCCCATGGACGAGGTTCCACATTATATTATCATGGAGCAAGTTTGTAACTAATGCGTGGATAAAAAAGGCAATTTGGAATAGAGGTGACCACATCAGGGCTGGCCGGTGAAAGTCATACTAGTTCTCCCATTCAGCCAATTTCTGCTACGTTGGCGCTTTGGCTTGCGCGACTCGCATACTTTCCACATTTTCGCAGTTGTTAGCATGCCTTCCCTAATATTGACTCCTAAAAAAATACGGCATCCAAAAAACTTACATCTTTGCCGTTACATGGGAACATTTGGTTCCCAACTTGCCAAGGTGACAAATGAGAAGAGTTGGGTGAGGTAATGATGTTTGATGGGGGGATAGGAGGGCTACGGTCTCAGTCATTCGAACCTTTTGTAAGATGTGTGATGAAAGATTTGTCCGACTCTCGTCAGATCAATCTCTCGTGGTGTACGCAGCCCTCCATTTTAAACATTGACAAGGTGCCACTTAGTACTGCGGTCAGCCTACAAAGAATAGTTGCGGCAATAACGATTCCGTACCCATCCGTTTATAGAGCATGACCAAATATTCTGGTACAGCGTGTGGGTTTCTCTGCTGGAGGTATAATTCAAGGCCTGCCCTCAGGCATAGGCATGCTCCTTTTTGACACTCCTTCTCAAAAATGTTTACCGATTACACGGTAGTGGGAAAGTTCTGTCAAACTGCAGCTGTTGTCACCGCAAAGGCATAGAAGGAGTAAAGTAGAATAATCCCATTTTGATCATGAAAAGCTTCGCTATCTCCACCGTCAGGCTTACTGAACAGGAAACAGTGAACAATGGTTAATGTGCCTTACAGATTGCACAAGAATTACTCACTTTAATTAAAAATGCATATAAAGTATTAGTATGCAATGAATCCACGAAATTGTACTATTGCCTATAATTAATTATGCTGGCTAATAAGTAGCAGTATACAAGGTGAAGTATTACTGGCCACTTAATTATGTGGGGTTCAGATTATCCGTGACATGTTTGTTTTTTCTGCATTCCTCTGCAAGCGGTTACTAAAGTTTCAAATTTTAGCAAGGGTGTATCATTCCCTTGATTAGTTTAATTAACTCCAACGTTTATCTTTTTTGACTAAATTAAATTGTAAAATGAAGGCAAATCTGCCACGTGTTTTCCGCGATTTCCGGTATCGGCGCTTCCGCAAGGGGCCTTAATGGTGGTCATTCGAGCGTCCGATTGTCTGTGGCTGCGCTGCACAAGCCTGCTTCAGTATCCTACTGTAATGTTTATGTTGATTTAATGCTTTTTTTTTCAGAGAGGAGGCGGCCACATGATCTGAACCTCGCGACTGAGGACTCGACGTCTTGCAACCTCGAGAAAATTCCCATGTCCACACCTGCTCCCATAAACCTGTCCTTGCTTTCCCCACTTACTTATCCCAATAAACATGACGAAGCCAAACCAACCTGGGTGTTCTGAGGGTAGGAGGACCAGGGAAGATGAGATCTACGAGCCTCGTCCTACACTCCTGTTCGATTGAAATTGGGAGATATGAAAAGGTATTCTCTACAAAATCAAGAAAAATTT